CGAAGCTCACTGGGCAGTAGTTTAGAGGCCCTCTCTGGAGTCAGACCACTGGGATTTCCCTCCCAGTCCCAACTTGGGCACCTGTAACCACAGTCTCCCCTGTGGTGGATGGGGCGGGGCATCAGCTCTGTCTCAGGACTACTGGGGGTGGGGCCGGGACGGTAACAAACAGTAGTTTGTGGGCTCCAAGGTTGCACTTTGGAAAGTTCCTGCACTCAGAGATTTCAACCACTAATGTATTATCTCTAATTGTCAGCTTTATTATTTATTTATTTTTTTAAAGGCACATAGACAAAGAGGAGGAGAGACAGAGAGGAAGATCTTCCATCTGTTGATTCACTTCCCAAGTGGCTGCAATGGCCAGAGCTAAGCCGATCCCAAGCCAGGAGCCAGGAGCCAGGAGCTTCATCCGGGTCTCGCACATGGATGCAGGGACCCAAGACTTTGGGCTATTCTCGGCTGCTTTCCCAGGCCACAAGCAGGGAGCTGGATGGGAAGCAGGGCAACGGGGATTAGAACTGGCACCCATATGGGATCCTGGAGAGTTCAAGGCCAGGACTTTAGCCACTAGGCTATTGCGCCGGGTAGTCAGTTTTGTGCTCAGGGTTTCCTTGAGTATTCCTGACAATGCACAACTTTGAATCTCACAAACTTTCTACTTAGAAACTATTATCAATGCAAACGTTGGGCATCACAGCTAGAGGGGCCAGCCACGCCGGCATCTGCACATTTCCAACTTGGAGTCCAGCCGCCTGGGGAAGCAGTCCCAAAAGCAGGGTTCCTGAACCTGCAGCCACAACTGGGAGACTGCCAGAAATACAGATTCCCAGGCTCCACCCACTGACTGAATTGAAAGGCTGGGGGCGAGGTGGGAGAGAAGAGGCACTGCAACCCACGTTAAGACCTCTGCCAGAGGACTCAGGCTGCTCCATTACAGGGAGACACTAGGACCTCAAAGATCAGAGGGCGTTCGCTCCTATCTAAAGTGCTTTTGAAAGGAGACTCTCTATTCTGATCAATAAGAGGGAAAACAACCATATGGAAAGCCCAGGAAAGAGGAAAGCAACGTTGGAGAAGCGATGCTGAGATCATTTGAAAAGATCAGAGGAGAGAGAACAGTACCCCTTGTGTGTATCAGCTGGGGATCAGCCCTGGGATGCCAGACCCAGGTGACAGACCACCACCATCAGGACTCCAGGAGAGGTATTCTAGGAAATCGTGGGTTCAGGGCCACAGGAGGATGAGGTAGTGTGTGGGCTGTTCCTGGCCAGGACATATCTGCAGAGCAGGGAGGCCTCTGTGGACCAGGAAGCACCAAGCATCTCTCCTGCAGAGACCCCACAGAAAGCTGGCCTGTTTCAGAGACAGCTATGCAGCCAACAAAGTGCTGCAGCCAGCCTCAGCAGCAGCGAGGAGGAGAAACCACGACAGGTTTTCAAACTCCGCAGGTCCAATCCCTATGGCCACCTGCAAGCTCCAAGCCTGAGGAGTGACTTTGGATCCAGCAACATGCAGCCTCATGGATCCCATGACACAGGCACCTCTACGCAGGAGCCACATAGATGCCCCTGGTGGTTAAACTGCAGCCTCATGCGCACACAGCCCGCAGCCTGCCCCAAGATCCCCATTCATTCTCTGGGCTGCAGCCCCAAGGGAGACTGAGGCAAATGTCCCCTGGACCACAAGGCCATCCCGTGGCTGCTGGCGGAGAATCAGAACCAAGAGTGGGACTGAGTCACTGCTGCACACACCCTGCGGACACTGTAGGGAGCAAACGCAGCTCCAAACCAAAACACCACCCGCTGGAGCCCCAATTTAGCATGTGTTCCCGCAGCCCAGATCAGGGGAGTCAGCAGTGAGTGAGTGGCATGTTACATAAGCCTCCTTTCTGTATGCAGAGCCTTAACACAGACGAGTCTCAACCATATAAAAAGCACTGGCCCACCCCCAAAGCAAATGCTGTGTGAGTGTGAGCAGGATCCCACACCCTCACCCAACGCCGGCAGAGACAGGCCCTCCTCTTGATGCAAGCCCACTGCCCAGCCCTGGAGTCCTGGGACCAGGACAAGGAAGCTGGGGTTAGGAAGGGACCCCTGGACGTGCTCACTGCCTGTACCAAAGCTCCCTTGACCACAATGCTGACCTCTTGCTACAAAGTTCTAGAACCATAGCACATGTCTTAAGTCATGTCCATGCACCTCAAGCCTCTGACTGGCAGGAACCCAAGCCACGTCCTCTCAAAGGTTCCCTCTGCCTGGAAAATCAGCTAGTTCTAACTAGAGTGTTAGAGCTGACGTAGCCAGACACTTGGCTCAGAAGTGACCAGAGATGCCAGCGTAGATTCAAGGGAGACATGTGTGACTCCTTCCACCAGACCAGCCTCAACATGGAGACAGAGGCAGCTCCTGCAACTTCCAAGAGAGCAGGGAGCATCAGGGAGAAGCCCCAACTACACGTTTATCACTTCCTACTAACCGCTAGCATGCCATGAGCCCCAAGAGAGCGCTCCCAAAGCCAATACTGAATTACAACTAACACCCAGTGTGGCCCATCAACGGCTGCTCCTGTTTTGCCACATGTACAGCACATCTCAAAATGCAGTCAGTGGGTATGGGCCACAAGCCTGTCTTCTGGGCTCCACCCCAAACTCAGCAAGTCAGACCTGAGACTTTCACATACACACATAACCTTTGGAACCATTCCCTGGGCCTCACAGGCAACAGAATGCTAAAGGGCCATCAGAGAACGAGAGTGAGCCAGGCAACATCTTCCGGTACAGGACACATTTACAGCAATGCCAAACCAAAACAAGCAAGATGGAGTCAGAACCCTCCAGTGTATAGAAAGCAGCTCTCAGAAGCTAACAAGACGTGACCCCTCAACCCCCACCACGGACCTTGCCAGCTGATCTTCACCTTCTTCTCCATTGCCTGCTGCCAGGTCATGGACCGGAAGCTACCAATGAGGCTCACAGATAGAGAGAGAAGATGGCTAGCAGGTCAGGTCCACTTTAGAGGGCAGCAGAGTGAAAGGCGAGCTGTCTTGCAGGCTGTAGCCTGGCAGCCAGACTCAGCCGGCGGTCCTCCGTCATGCTCTGCTCTGACACATGATGAGCAGGGCGGGCGGTCAGGCCCAGGCTCCGTGCACCTGTGCACCTGCACCCAGGGAACCCCAGAGGCCACTCTGCCGCCACCTTTCCTGAGCCAGGGAATCCTGAGACTGCCGGCAGCTGTCATGAGAACATCCGACAGCAATGTGGATGCTGAGCCTCATTTACACAAGCCCACTTCTCTCCAAGCGATAGGTTTTAAAACAAACAGCTTCTACATATGCTAGTAACACAGTCACATCGGCAACAGGGATCCCCAGACAGAAACATGAGTCAGTCTGGGGGCAACGCCAGCTAAATAAAGCCTGTTTGGGTGCAATCTGTCTCTACAGAAAGAGGATTCTCAAACTAAAGACTGCTCAGCTGCCCTGGCCAGCCTCAGTCCTTACAGACACGGGGACAGCATGTTCCGGGCACTCAGACTTGAGACCCCTGGCACCAGCATGGGTCTGTCCTATCATCACTTCCTTCATGAGCTTTGCCAGCATCCAGGTGCCCATCTGCACATGTATTCTGGTTCCCCCCCCCCCACTTATAACCTGTGTGGATCAACACAGCTGGACATGTGTTGTCCATGCCAACGAAGGCTTGACCGACATCCCAAGACGCTGAGCTCTGCTGGACACAGCGGTCTGAGAAACAAGATCTAAAACATGAAGCCAGCAGGGAGCAGCCAGGTCATCAAGGTAAAGCTAGGCTGGGGAGCTGGGCTCACTGAGGTGACAGTCTGCCTTCCTCCTTAGCTTTGCCCACAAGGACTTGGTGGGAGAGCGGAAGTCCACCCTCTAGCCAGCAGGAGTGGCCACTCATTTTCTTGCCAAAGGCCACTTGGACATTTATCACATGATTTGCGGAGTATAGAAAATTTCTCAATGTGAAATTTAGCCTGCTAGAGACAGTTAGGATTCCGAGTCTCTCTTGCACTCACCCTGGCAGGATCAGAACAAATGTCTTCATGGGCTTCATGTGGCCCTTGAGCCAAACGCTCCCCACATTTGAGTGTAACCCACATGAGTAGTCGTGTTCGCTGAAGGCTGAGAGAACTCCTACTGGATGAAACCAGAAATATGCTGTGGCCTGCACATGGGCATGCCCCTCAAATGCTTGCATGGAAGCTCACCCCTAGTCCGAGAGCACTAAGGGGACCCATTTGGGAGGTGATAAGTTGCAAACCCTCTGGCATCCTGTCTGGGATTTGTGGTCCTGTAACACAGGCTGATAGGAGCTACTTCTCTCCTTCTGCAGGGGAGGATACATATACGCCACCATCCACACCAGGAAAGGGCCCTTGACAAAAGAGCAGATAATAAATCCGTTGGCATCCGGACCCTGGGCTTGCCTCCTCCAGTGTGAGCAGTGTCAATAATTTCTGGCTTGCCAGGTCCACGTGTTTCTGTCATGGTGGCCTGAATGTACTAAGAACTCGTGACGTAAAAGGGAGGGTGACCAACAACCAGAGTGACAGCCGGCAGGCTTGTCAGGTGAAATTCAAGTGCAAACTGCATTTGGGAAGGTGCAACCAATCCACTCTGGCTACCCCAGAATGAAGGAGACGGGTCGTAACACACTGCAAAGGCGCTAGCTGCCTGCAGGTATAAAGATTGGGTTCCAAGAGCTGGGCTGTCTTTAAAGATGTGGCTCCCTCCCGAGCAGCCACCCACTACCCTGGGTGTCACACAGCAGAGGTAGCCCTCTCTGAACTTGCTGCAGTGCCACAGCCTTGGCAAAGGAGTCGGCTACCAATGTGGGCATGTGAGCAAGTCAACAAGTCCTGTGAGTGGCAATAGGAAAAAATTCCCTCGAGAGCCCAGAGTCAGGCATGGGGGCAGGGGCTTCCCGGGCATCTCCCCAGGCCAAAACCAAAAAGCAAGAGAAATGAAAAGCTACCAACCAAGGCCATTCTCTGCCAGGGCTGCATGGTCACCATCACACTCGCCTGCGTCCTGCTCGCCCAAGTGGTCGTTCAAATCCAGGTCAGGCTGACCAGAGCCATTGCCAAGGTGCTGCTCGTCCTTCTCGGAGCTGGCATCCCCGTCCTCCACGCCATTCTGTGCCTTTTTCAGGGGCATGATCTGCAAGCCACTGGGTGTAGTCCTGTAAGACACGGTCTTAGCGGCCCTGTCGCCTCCCCCGGGGGGCTTGCCCGAGTACCCCTTCTTTGGCTTGGACGATGGGGAAGGGTTGATGCGCTTCCGCTTGTGGGAGGTCCCTCTGCTCTTCCCGGGCTCAGCAGGCCTGGGTGGGAGCTTGTCCACGGAGGTGCTGCGGCCATCCCGCAGGAGCTTGGCGGCGCCCGGCTGCTTGCCTGCCTTGGCCCTCTTGTCCTTGCACACATGCAGCCCGTTGAACTCATCGATAAACTCCTCACAGTGCAGCAGGTGGTGCTCAGGCTCCCACGTGTCCTCCGTGCTGCCGTAGCCTTTCCATCGGATGAGGTACTCCCATTTTCCTTTCCTGTTCTTTCTCTTGTCTACAATCCTTTCCACCTAGGATATAAAAGATGAAGAGAGTCAGAAGAGAGAGGGACAAAACACAGGGCTGGCCTCAGGCTGCGAGCACAGTACAGAGCCCTGCTGGCCATTAAGCCAAAAGCCAACACTTCCAAGAGGGCTGGCTTCCTCCGGAAGCTCGCTGAATCACACCAAGGACAGCCACAGCCCATCAAGACTGACATCATGCCCAGTGTGGCACATCCACAAGCCCAGCATACATATTCTTTTTAGAAGCTGTACCATGAGCCTTTACAAGAAATGTCATTTTCATAACACCAAACCAGACTCGGACTTTTAAAAACCAATCTGGAGTGGAGTTTTTATCATCCTTACAATGGTAAGTGCCACGCACTGAGCCATCACAAGGCTAACACATCTTTAGTGATCCAATACTAATGATGAGGAATGGTCACAGGGCATTTACACAGCACATGCTACTCTCCTGTCTCCATTTTTTCCCAGCAATAACCCAACAGCATCAGAGCTTTCTCAATTCTCATTTCAGAGTGAGGGAACCAGAACTCAGAGAAATCGCATTCCTCAACTAGGTTCTAAGACCGATGTTGGCAGAGCTGGCATTCAAACCACTCTTCCCCCAGACCTGATTTCCTAACCACTACAGCATACTAACATTCTCACTGCAGAGACCCTCAAAATTGACTTTAAAAAGACTCAAATGGAAAAAAAATGACCCAACTCCTCCCCATGCAACTGAGATATAACAGAGGGTCCAGCCACAAGGCAAAGGAACAGGTAACTTTTGCTAAGAGCCAACCTCAGGCCTCCCATAACCTCACTGGTGCTAACATTATTCTCAAGTGACAGAGGAAGAGATGGGGTGGGGGACAATCTGCCTCCAACACATGACTAGGGAAGGGTGGAGGTGGGATCTGAGCCTAGATGTGCTGGTTCCAAAGCCATGTGCTACTATCTGTCTTCAAAGGTAAGAAAACTTCCCCTGTCCTTGGTTCATCACAGGGAAAACACATCATTGGAGATGTGAGGACTGGGGTCAAAAACCAGTTGAAGCACGTATCATGTTTACTTGTGCCTTTCAACATTGCTGTGATTTTAATTCCCAATACTGTACTTCAAATTTCAGTAAAAAATAAAACAACTATATTCCAAAATGCATTAAATTTAAATGTAATGAGCATTGAATGGAATTCTGACCTAAATGAAATGTGGACTTTTCCAGAATATAATATTGACCCAGTGTGATTAAATAATAAATAAGGATTATGCCCTTCCCTTGAAACTTATGAAAAGGAAAAATAATATTGAAGGGGAAAGTAAGTGCTAAGTATAGTTGGTGGTTCTGAAAATGCATACTGGTTACATGGGGATTCATTAGGAGAGTCTATGTTTGAATTTTATATTCTTAAAAATTTTCATAATTAAAAGTAAGAACTCTTTAAAATGACCTAATCTCATGAATGACTTATATGCAACTATACCTCAACAAAATAATTAAGTGTGGGTATTGTGGTACAGTGAGTGAAGCCAAGACTTAGGCACTTGCATCGGGTATAAAAGTCCTGGTATGAGCCCTGGTTACTCCACTTCCAGCCCAGCTTCCTTCCAACGCACCTGTGAAGCAGTAACTGGGTTCTTGTCATCCACATGGCAGATTCGGAAAGAGTTTCTGGCTTTTGGCTTCAGTCTGGCCCAATTCTAGCACTCATGGAATAAGTCATCAATGGGAAAGATCTCAAAATCTCTGTCACTCTGCCTTTCAGATAATTAAGTCTTCAAAAAATAATTAAAGAACTTTCACAGCTTTATACTTCATAAATATGTAAAAGCCAAGACACTTTATAACATTGTCTCTTCACAATTTTATCTCCTTAACTGATTAATCTCAATTCCAATTGGCTTGTGTCTGCTAAATCATCTTTCCTTCCATAATGTTCTGTGAACATCTGCTTCAAATTCACTGCATAATTTTTATGTACATCACACAAACCTGACAACAGTTTTGAGAATCACACCTGACTAACACAACTTCAGCCTCTGGGTCTACGAACAGGGCTGTTGAGTGTGTGTCACACAGATTCAGGAGGACAACAATGAACCTGGAAGAGCCTGCACTTTGCCCATCTTAAGGACACTGTGGTGGGGAACACAGTGCAGGTTTTCAGAGGGAAAGAAGTGAAGAAGCAACCAGAAAATGCACAACGTGACTTTCCCAAGGACACCAACCCAGAACGTCAGCAAAAAGCCAAGACACATACTGGGAGCTGAGGGATGTGTGTGGATAGAGGTCCCCAGCCCTAAAAGCAGATGCTGGATGGAAAACTTCTTTACAATGGTAATGCAGAGGGGACTACAGACCAACAGCCAACACAATGAATGACGGAGTAGATGGATGGATGCATGGAAGGATGGACAGCTACACGGATGTTGAGAGTGGACAGAGAGCAGGGCTTGGGAATGCATGGGTGGCTGGCTGGATGGATGACAGTCATTAACCAAACATGGGCTCAGTGTATGATTAAAGAGCACAAACTCTGGAACAAGACAAAGTCCCCTGGTAAGGCTTTTTAGTGTGTGTTCTTGAGAAAGTCACTAAACCTCTCTGGGTCTCCGATGACTCATCCAGCAAGGGGGAAGTAACAGCCGCTCCCTCGCTGCGTGGCTGAGGGGAACAGACAGACAGGCGCTCTTTTTGCATTGCACAGTAAAGGTCACCTAATCCACAACAGCCTCCCGTGACCACAAACCTCGGTGGTGTCTGAAGACAAGATGTTTCCCCAGCCTGCAGGCCAGTCTGCTCCCCACCCACCCAGACCCCTGGAAGTGAAGAAGGAGTCCTTTGGATATGGATGACAGCTATGCACCAAGGAGGCTGGGTGGGAGGGCAGGGATCAGGGTCTGGGCAGCTGGTTGGGCCAGTGAAGTCTTAATTACAGAGTCATAGGGTGCTTTATGAGGGAAAGACCACTGCTTCCAGTTACAAAGTCACAAGTTGGTGAAACAATCATTTCTACTTAAATTATCCAATGCAATGATGAGCTTTGTGTTAAAAAGCTCATCCAAGAGCCTTTTGATCATGGAGATTTAAGCAGCTCTAACCCTTTCTGTCCCTACAACTCTGGACAACTGACTCAACTTCTCTGTGCCTCGGGTTTCCACACAGGGCTTCCAGGAGAATGGAAAGGAAAAAGGGAAAAGTATCTCTAGCACTCCCAAAGGACCCCAGGGGACATGGGAGATTGCTCTGACACGTACAGGAGATTTCAGCTGCTGAGGGTGTTGGCAGACACATGCCCATCCACGGCTTACCAACAAACAGGTTCCAAAACACAAATGCTTCCTCTAAAAGTTCAAGATGGACTCAGGGCAGCTGGCTCCCAAGCACCCTGCCTTGTTTTGCTTCATGTCAAGACCAGAGAATGAAACCCCTCCAGGTCCACTGGCTAACCTTCTTCCCTCTCACATTCAGCAGTGTGCCACACAGATCCAGAATTCTAACAGTTTCTGTTAAAACCAAAGCCCCCATCACTTAAGACTGCAACATTCTGTCTGGGAAACCCTTTCTCCTCCTTAAGCACCCACAAACCCTTCCTGCTGTCTCCTAACTTCTCCTTCCTCCGGGAAAACAGAAACTAGTTTCCTGGTCCAGCAGCTGTCTCCTAATGCAGTATCCTGACCAACCTACAAAGCCATGTGCATTATCTATAGCTCAGTCCCTCCAAACAACAATAAATTCTTTCACCCTGCACCTGTACATAAGAGAACAGTATCAGAAATTCACGTGGCACAACATCATACATCTCCTCTTTCTAAGATGAGTAATCTGAGATGCTGAACTAGTTCTCAGTGTCCAACCAAATCATTAATTTACTCTCTGTGGTCCCAGCTAATCCAAAACTATATTCTATTGCAAGTGAGTCAGAGTTTTCCAACTCATGTAAGTTAATCAGGGGTCAGGGTGGGGGAAATCAACACAGGACAGAGTCACTCATCAAGGCACAAGAGAATAACTCTCTCTATGTTGAATGCCCAGGTCAAAGACCAATCCCATGATGGGAAATGATGGCTCTGGTGGTGTTTGAAAACATGTCAACTTTATTTCTGTCTTTGCAAAAACATCTTTGTTTCAAGAACTCCAAACTTCTCATTCTCACACACCTTCCCCTGTCCAAGATGGCAGGCATAAAAATCAGGTCAACTTGAGAAAACAGTAAATACAGACACACATTGGATAAGCACACATGGGAGCAAAACCAGCTGGGTGGTCTTCCAGAGAAGAAAGAAGAAAGAGGACATCTCATATGTTTTTGAGAACAAAAGATAAACACCATTGTTTCAAAGGCTGATTTGACAGGTGCTGTAAAAATTTTAAGCATTTTACTTACAAAAGGACAAATTTCATGTATTTCATATCTACAATTGATTTTCAGTGTAAAGCTCAAGAAAGTACCATAAGTATATAAGCTAGGATAGATGCCAATGATGTCAAATGAATATTCAAAGGTAAGTACGATGCTTCACTATGGATATTCACTGAACAGCTAGCAGGGAAAATACTGAGAATAAAAGTAAAATGACTCCCAATGGATAACATGAATACTGAAAGCAAAAGTATGATCATGTCACTTTTGAGTGTTAAGATAGCAAGCGCAGGAAATAGTCCACAGGAAGACGGTCAAGACTTCACAGTGTGAGTTTTGCATTTTACCATGAGAGAAAGCAAATAACTGTGTAGACTGTGAAGCCAGTTACCTCAAGAAACGAACATGTTCATAATGCTCTTATTCATAACAGACCAACACTGAAAACAAATATTTCAACTGGTAAGTAAACTACAGTTGATCCCTGCAGTGGGCTCATTAGCAATAAAAGGAGTGTGTTAGACACAACACGTTGCAGGAAGCTCGCAGGCACTGAGCAGAAAAGAGGGACCAAACCAGAAGAACACAGACTGGGTCCAAGGGCTTTACAGCAACCCAAGTCAGCTCGTGTTTCCCAGGATGGCAGGTGGCACGAGG